AACCTTGAGTAGCTGCTTTTAGTCTCATCGTTCTGCAATCGACCTGCCTGGTATGGTAGAACCTTCAGGAACATATGTTCCAGCCAGCATAGCTCGGTTGGGTCACGACGATAGTCAAGCCCGACCACCACGTCAGGGTAGCAGCTACGGTCGGGGAATTTTCTTACAGAATATTTTAAATTTAAAACATAGCAACTCAGTGTGATAGAATATTACTTTAGTGTCACTTTTGTAAGCAGTTAACGATGAACTAACCTTTTTTACTATTGATAATAAACTATGCAATACTTTCATTTACGAATTAGGAAAAAACACGTGTTCAGAACTGTATTGTTAAACACATCTGGTCTATCCTATATAAATTGATTCTACATCATTTTACTCGGTGAAACCATACTTTTTTCAGTTCGTAAAAACACTGATCTCCGTAACTCTAGTTGAAAAATTAGTACAATATGCTCACTAGTGACTAGTTTCGTGAGGACATTCTCGGACTTCTAGTGAGAAAACGTTACCAGTGTTCAACCCTGTCGGGTTTATGCAGTAACTACCAAAGACAAATGGGTGAGGTCGCGCAAAATCCCTGGATTGATCAGAGTTAGCCATTAACACCGTTGGATGCCGGCCCAGTGGTTAGGTGTTCACTCGCAAGACCGAGGGTCCTGGGTTCGAATCCTGTGGGTAGTAGGAGTCGTGGATGCGCACTACTGATGAGTCTCACACCAGGACGAAACGACCGTCCAGTGCTTCCAGGCTTATAATGTCGATCTAATAGTTATCGATTCATGATTTTAATGTGTAAAAACACTGATCTTCATAACTCTAATTGAAGAAATCATACTGAATAGTTGAATCGATCAAGTTTAGAATAGTAATTTTCGGTTCGTATGGATTAGAATGAAAAGAAACCAAACCTGAGATATATTTACTTATTCTACTGTAGATTATTTTACAAACTTATAAATTTGTTCGTTTCAATTTGATTCTGTAATGATACCATGTTAGTTGTCAGTTACATTCATTATTATATTTTAGCAACTAGTTTGAATTGGAATTTTGTTGAACAAAAAATTTGGCTTATCTATTTACATCACTTTTTAATTACCGTTTAAAATGATATTGTTTAGTTGTCTCTTGATAGTAATAATAGTAATCATTATTATTGTTATTATTATTATGTTGTTTATATATCGTTAGTGGTTTACTTATGAACTATCATCATACCATATTGTAAACTATACGTGTGTATGTTTCCTACCTAACTAACTATCGGTCATTTTGTCTGTTCATTCATCTCTCTTAACTTATTTTAAATATACAATTCATTAGATGCTACAACTTAGTGTGTAATATCTATATGCGCCTATGTATATAATTGAAATATTATTGATAAATTTAAACATAGATTAAAATATATAAATTTCATATCAATGTTAATGTGTATTTGTTATTAACATCCAGTTCAGAGAACAAAACACCACCACACTAACTATTATCAGTTGGTGAATTGACATTTCACTTGTATGAATGAACATTTTATAAACACCAATTTGTTTTGTTCGATAGTCAGTACACTAGCCGTTAATACTATGGAAAATTGTTTAAACTACGATACTTTTTACATTAGATAATATTCGAATAAAATAAATCAAACATTGGCTGAATGGTTAAAAGCATTTGTAACTAACTAACTAACAACCACTACTACTGGGGTGTAATTTTTATTTCTAATTGAATTTGGCGGTTAGATTTTAGTATCCTTTTTCAAACAAAAGCATAATTAAAGGTTGACTATAATATCAAACTGTAATTTTTATCGACTATTTCATTAGAGAACATTTTAGAGATATAGATCAACTAGAATGATTATCTTTAATCATTAGATCAAGAAACAGATTTCATAATAATCAATTTTAAAGTATCTTACAAGATAGATACTACAAGATAATAATTTATTCTCAATAATTATAAATTACGTAAAACCAGCTAATTGACAAGTAATCTCAACTTATTACATGTATTACGGTGTATTTCACAGTAAAATGAATTACTTAATTGGACTGACACATTATGACAAAAGTTTTGCTGAATTAGCAACATAATACAATTATTGGTACATGAAAACACATTAATTAAAACTAAAATATGCGCATCGTTTGAATGCTGCGTTACATAAATGAACTGTTGATAGTTTGTTTATATCGAAAACATTCATCAACTTACATCAATTATTATTCTAATCGGTGTAGACAACGTATAATTTCTAATAAAATAAAAATAATCAATAACAGTTGAAAGTAAATAGCTTTACTTAGATGCATGAAAAAAATAGTTATTGAATTTTTTTTCCTGTTAAGTTCTATCCTTTGTGTTCTCTCTTTGCTTATTATTTCACTTGATAGATTATTTCACACTGAATCAATAAATAATTATCATGTATTAATATATATCACTTACCAGTTTCTTTTATCAAACTATTGAAATCATTGCTTACTTACTTACTTAATTACTCCTGTTACCCCCAATAGAGCATAGGCCACCGACCAGTTTCCTTCAACCAACTCTGTCCTGGGCTTCCCTTTCCAGTTCTTTCTAATTTTTGTTCATTTTTCTCATGTTTTTCTCTATTTCTCGGCATGATTTTCCGCCTGTAGTTCGTCTAGGGCTACTGCCGGTCCCAAGCCCGGATTAAGGAGAAGGTTGGGCATGGGGTTGGCGACCCCATCCCACAAAAAAAAACTAATCTAATTTACACTACCGTTTAAAATTTGAAATCACTGGACAGCTGCTTCGTTGTAGTATAGCACTATTCATGTTGTTATCTTGTCATTGATCAATATTATGATTCCTGGAAACAATTTACGTACATACATCGATTGTACACAATAAATGAACAAGTATTTAATTGAAATAGTCCATTCTTTTTCATTCATTAAGAAGGCAGATTGTATTTTCCACTTGTGTTTTCCTCACATACATATGTTTCTCATTCTAATTTTTTTATGCTTTTCTACTTCAACAACAATACCAACAACAACAACAAAATGTCTGGGCGAAATATCATACACTTCTGGTTTGTTCGCATGTTTCTTCCTAATAAAATAATAATAATAAAAACATTATGATAACCTTTTCAAATGCCGTTTTTTTATTACAACAATGCTCATAAATTACCGTTGGTCATGATATCATGTTGCTCCAGACTTGTCAGTCGTTTGCTAGCATTGTGTTTGATCGACCTCGTCTTTATTAGGTCAATAGTAGTAATAATGATGATAATAAGCTTCTTTCTCTTCTTCTCTTTCTTTTTGTTCTACTTCTCTTTGTTTTTGATGTGTGTGTGTGTTTTTTTTTCTTCAAATCAATTTTCTGTCTTCTCTCTGTCAATTTCTTCATTGTGTGTTGTCCGTTTTCTTTTTTTCTCTCCACTAGAAATCAGTTTAGTTTAATAGTTTTTTTCTATGTAATTTTTTTTAATTTTCTAATCTTTATAGTTTACCTGTTAGAAAATGAGTTGAACTCATTGACAGTGAACTGGTCCGATCATGCACAACATGCAAAATCTTTCTTTCTTTACTCTCTCTTTCTCTCCTGTCTGTTTGCATTTTATTTAAATTTCCCTTATTCACTGTAATTAATTATCATTATCATCATGTCTTTTTGTTAGGTTGACTGACAATTGAAGCATTGATTTTTGTAGTCATCATTCTTTGCATGTTGGGAGAAATAATGATACGCGTTATCGTAGTTTTTAATATGTATTTGGTTTTATGTGCTTCCTTTATTTATTTTTTTACTATTCTCTTAGTCAATGTTCTTCTTATAATTCATCTTGTCTATTGATCAATAATATCACACTCGTCTATGTGTCACCTACCTTCTGATCAATTCACTCACTCACTCACTCACTCACTCACTCACTCACTCACTCACTCTCTCTCTCTCTTTCTCTCTCTCTCTCTCTCTATATATATATATATATATAGTAATATTATCGGTACTTCATTCACTTTAATTCATCATGATGGAAAAGGAATCGGATAATTTACACACACCATTTCGTACAATGTTTTCGTAAGTAAAATGCAAGTCAAACTAATTCCGTCTCTCAGTAGTGAAGTTTTTTTACATGGTCTTTGAACTTTAATCTGCCTTTTATTCGGCTATGTTTTCTATGAAATTCGAATTTTTGTTTTCTAGTAATTTCTTACCTAATTAAATAAAATCATGTATGAATATCTTGTCAATGCTACTTAAAACTTATTTAAGTAGTTAGGTGTCAGTTAAAACTAGGAAGCCTATCACATCATTCATTCAATAATATTGTTCATAGATAAAATTACTGTTTTATTCTTTCTTGTCCCTTGGATTTGGCTAAATTAAATGCGTTTTCTATTTATCAATTTATTATTAATGTGTAATTTGCATGCTTTGATGACAGCTTGCCTTTTTGCGTGCCTTTTTTTTTCTGTCTACATTAATATGACTGTAAATCCTGTGACGCGTGTACTATGCTGGTCTGATGCACGCCGTTTTATTCTACAATAAATAAATGAATTTATATATATATATATATATCTACTGTATACATACACACACACACATGCGCTTATACACAATGCAATCCATAATTCACATTCAATATATAATAATCTCTGTTTGGTTTATGCATTCAACCTGCTCTCGTTCCTTCTTGAATCGGTAAAAAATAACTACGAAATATGCATTTTAATGGACAATAATGGTGATGATGAATATTGGATAATGTGCTGTTCGTTTTGCTGATACTACCAATGACAATAATAATACTGTCACAATTATCATAATTCGGATGAATTTCTTTGAAAAATCACTTTTCTGGACTATGTAATAATGGGATGGAATATATATTATCAATATCCAATGTCATGGTATGCCTTCAAATATCCCTGAATCCATCTGAATCTTTGGTGTCTTTCCATTTACATTATTCCTTTACCTGATCGATTATCTTCATCAAGGTGGAACTATTAACATCATGCCGAGATGTTGCTACTGCCTTACGTAGTGTGTTTCTTTCATCCGGTAAAGTACAAGGACGTCCATCTATAGATCCAATTTATGATGAAGTTCGATCGAACGCTCAAGTAGGTTTTGAATTTATGTATACTTAATTTTTGGTAAATTGACATTATGTGCATGTGTTTACTAGAAAGTATGTATTTTGCTTTCTTTCACAAACATTCGAGCTTATTATTATTATTGTTAGTAGAAGGGTAGTGATGGAGAACACAGATGGGGCAACCGAATTGTAGTAACCGAAAATTACAGAGTTACTCAGTAAAATTGGAAAACCATATCGTAAATCGTTAATTTGCAAAATATCAGTCCATCATATTGAACTGGACTGTTGCTGTTGCAAAACATCAATCCATTGTCACTATTCATGCGTTTCATACAAATTCCATTGTTTTCTAACTCTTCCTTTCTTGATCTTCCCCCATCTTCTGCTGCCAGACATTACGTTTTTACTCACGTCATATACTACTTATAAGTAGCTCGCACCACAGTAGTAGTAGTAGTGTCATTAAAGACCGTAGCTGCTGTCAGTTGTGCAGAGATGTAACATCAGGTAACCGTAGCCATTAGATAACCTGCATGTACAACGGAAGAAGTTTACTATCAGCCTTTTTTTAGATTTGTTTAGCTCAAAAAGAATTTTAGTTACTGGTTAGAAATGGAAAACAATATGCGAAGAAGTATGCTTATTCTTACTCCTGTAAATAATGTTCTATGCATCGAAAATTCAAGCCTGATTTTCAGTCCGTACTCTTGTTGAATATTGGTTTTTATTTATCTTTTTACTTAGGTTGTTATTTCTAATGTTGGTCTACTCCTTCAAACACTTAAGTCAATAGAAGATGATGAACGACGAGGAATTCGATCTCTTGAACTAGCTGCTAATTATTGTCGTGAACAAGCCAAAACCCTTCCATCGACTAAAGATCCAGAAGGCATACTTACACCAAATAGTTCACGTAAATCAGGTCCACATAGTACTTCAGTTATCAGTGGTTCTTCTAGTTTAATTGCTCGTTATTTAGCTCCAGATGATTTGGCCCGTGCTGCTAGTGGACCTGTTCAGTCAGCTGTTTCAAAAGCAATCTTAGCAAACAATACACAAACCCAACGTGATGTCGTCCAGACAGCATCAGCAACTCGAGATGCAGTTACTGATTTGGTTTCAGCAGCCAAGGTAAGAGTATGACTAATGTTTACTGTTTAATAGTTACAGATATTTTAGTGTTTGTTTATAAAGAGATCGATTGTTTGTCTGGTAAAAGATGCAATTGGTTCTGCTTTAACGAATATATAATATACTCATCAAGGCTACTAAATTGTATGCAGTATATATAGTGACAAATAAGCCAACAAAAATAGCTAAAAATGAAACCCTTGTAACCTTAACTATATATATATATATATATATATATATATATATACTTTTGTAATGTTTAGCTGCTTACTCCTTCATTATGAACTGTTATGAGATATTTGAATCTGATTTACTACATGTAAAAAAATTCTCTTCTACTACTACATTTATCAGTAGTACAAATTATATATGATACAGAGAGATAGTAAAAAGTAACTACTCGTAATGTGAATACCTATGTGTATATATTATACACATGAGATAAAGATTTTGATGTTGTTGTGTTGTTTGAGCTGAATAGTTTAACTGAGGAGATTTCATCATCCAGACAGTGTTATATAAACACTTTCTTTGTAATTCAGTAACATTAAAAGCATTCACTGGAGCTATAACATTTTCTACATCATTTCAAAATTCCAAAAGAATAACGAAATTCTACTTGTTCGAAAGTGGGTAATATATTTTGCCAAAAGGTAAACTTCTATTAGAGATGAAGATAACCTTTGTTAGTTAGTATGAAATGGTGGATTTTATTTACTACTTTCTCATGAGTTCAGATGCTTCTTGACGTTGATAGATATTTTTTTTAGAAAGATCATAAAGTTTAAGCTTTCATTCTTATTCACTAACACATTGATCCACCTAGAATAAGTGACGTTGACTTAACAAATCTATTTCTATACAAGGTTTTTATATAATACCAAGAATTAGTATTTTGAAGTGATATTAATTGTACTGGTGTTTCGTTCTCTAAACTGGATGTTTTGGTTGTGAAGTTTTCATTGTTCTTCTGAACAACATCAGCACAAATTTCAGATGGAAGCGAAGTATTCGATTCTCTCCATATTTGACCTTTATAGCTTGTTCCACTAACCTCAATCTTGATTGGTTGCTGGTGACCTTAAACCTACATAGGACAAAGTGGACGGCCTCTTCAGCTTCCCTTAACTGAACACCAATTAGCAGTCAAACGCCAATACACACTGATAATTATGGAGATACATTCGATTGAAACAAAGGGGAAATACTGAATAGCGGGAGGACAAAGAGCACTAGAGAATTTTCAGAAGCTTGGCACTCAGGTCAATCAACAAACACAATGACATTGACCCAATTTATCAACCAATCAGAAAAATCATAGGTGACATAGGATCAAGAGACAGATCAAAAGGGAGATACAATCAAAACAATGGTGCAAATAACGACAGGTTTAAGGTCAATAGCAACCAATCAAGATTGAGGTTAGCAGAACAAGCTATACAGGTCAAACGTGGAGAAATTCGAATGCTTCGCTTCCATTTGAAGTTTGTACTGATGATGTTGATCAGAAGAACAATGAAAGCTTCAAAACCAAAACACTCAGCTCAGAGAACGAAACACCACCACAACCATCCACTTGAGCTACAAACTGTCTCCACCATCTCGAAGTGCTATTTATCACAAATTAATGAATAAAATATTTTCTCATATGCTACACAAATATGAATATTGTTAAAGATCATTTCAATTGTATACAAACAGAAGATAATAATTTATTTGTGAAAATTATTTATATGTTGTAAATTCAGCGATTGTAATTGAAATAAATGCAATATTTCGTTCAGTATGATCATTTGAACTTTTTCAGGGGAATCATCAAAATTATTAGAGAATATACTGTTATGGACTAATGCATAATAAAATCAGTAGCTGAGAGGTCTGATTTTTACTATATACTGTTTCTGTTATTATGTAACATGTAGAAACGCTACTGAAAATCGGTCAATGCTCAATCATAAACAATGACTTGAGGTATACAAACAGGCCAAAACATACTAACTGGCTAAAATAGACTTGATGTTATCGGTGTATTATTTCGTTTCAAACCAAAATTGTTTGCTACTTTATCAGCCCATGTATCTGGCCTTTGACCTTAACTATGTCTGCAGTAAAAATAAATTGCCAAGTTTTCCGAATAAACTTTTTTCCCTCTGATCCGAAATGGACCAATCATAGGCGTAGCCTGTTGTTGTTCATCTCCCGATTTTTTATTCACTAACTTCTTTTTTTTCAACCTTGTGTTATATATGTGACTAGCCTGATTCAAACCGAACAGGAAGTCCGACTTCCATAGACCAACGACTCTTTACAAATCCTCCTCCTCTCTCTCTCTCTCTCTTTCTACCCCACCTACCACCTTTTTATTTTTATGCCATTTAATGCCTGTCAGTTCATCGCCTAGTCAATTTCATTTTTTAACCTACCCCATGATATTTATTATCATTCTTTCTTTCTAATGGTCCAATCATACCATTCTAATCTATGATTGGTTGACACAATTGATCATGTCAGCTAAGTGACGCAGCTACTATGATTATTATTATTATTATTATGCCAATTTTATAAAAGTCATTTAGTGTTTCACTAAGAGACATTCTCATTAAATCGGTTATATATATTCACAAGGTTTATATAACTTGGATTTTTTTTACTCTTCAACTTCCTACTTCATCATCATCGCATTGTGGGATGGATTGTTGTCGATTAGTGTTTATTACGTTATTCGGATATTCCAACGGAAACACGTTCATCATGTGCGATAGTGACAAGGGAATTGGTTGAGGAATTCGCTGTTTTGTTGGATGCCATTAAAAATGTACGTTTGATTCATTCATTTTTTTATTATTATTCCTATTGTTATGAACTGACTTTCAATTACTAGAATTTTTACTTAGTACAACTGCTAAGTACTTTCCCCTGTGTGCTCTTATATCTTTCGTTAAGATAATTTATTTTTAGTTTATAATTCATTGTACTGTGATGGGGGGATCTGTGGACTGTTATATCCATTATGCTCCTAGTTTTTAACTGCATATTTCTTTTTACTGGTTGTTATGTAATCATATGGCGTGTATTTTCACCAACACATCATGATAAATTGAAGCTGTAGGTTAATTTCATAAAAATCAGTAAAAACAACTATGAATAATAATCACCTAAGTTGGATTGGTTTTTCTTGTGAGATAGTACCATTTTGTGCTTTCTCGTCAGTTTTTGTCTAGTACACTCAAATTACTCATCGTCTTATTGTATGGTAGAAGATAGTAACTTCTTATTATTTCAAATGAGTTGTTTGGTACTATGTGAATCTCTCTTAGAAGTTATGTAATCGCGATCAATGTATTTATCATTTACGAGTATGATCAGTAGTTTTGGCTGCTATAACGTTTTGCATCCATTTTGAAAGCCGAAATTCGAACTTTCTGATGCTAGTTTAGTGGGAAGACATATGCTCGATTGTGTTTAAACTACTACTCTGACCTCGATTTGTCGTGTCCTATTTCACCTTTGCCTACTCTGTTTCGGTGTGTCTGTTTATCCACTAAAAAAATATCCTATTATCTATTGATCGTGTCTGTCTATCCCGAAAAATGACTGAATCTATGGGATTTTTCAGTGACATTGGTTTTTTACGAATCTTTTGTTTTTCATCCCTTTGTCTTCTCTCACCACCCTAGCTGGAAATATTTAGGAATACAGTAGCTTAGTCATCATCATCTATCTGGTCCGAATTTTCGGCATTTACCATAAGTAGGTTAGGCTAGCAGGAATAATTATTAACAGTTTCGATCTGTTCCTGTCGCGATTGTCAAAGACTGTTTTTTGTCAATGCTAGTCTGCCGGCCAATTATGACGAGTGACGTTTCTTGTTGTGAGTAAACGATTTTTCATACACTTTAATAGAGTAATATCCAGTCTAGCGTGAGAGGTGATTATTTTGGTATGTAGTAATAAGAGTCAACATGGAGAATATTTCTTTACTAAATAGTGCACTGCCTATGAAGACTATGAATCACATAATGATGAATTTTATCAAATATTAGAAAACCCTAGTGAGTTTATTAGTTTATCGTGGTGTTACAGGTTTATGCCATCCTAACGTCCTTATATACTACAATAATATGATTTTCCAAATTATGTCAACTTCAATCTGAGCCTGTTTTACAGTTACACAACATTGTGTTACTACCAAGGTTTTGAGATGTTGAGGAAAATGTGTTGTTCAGATGGAGTTTGGTTCTCGGAACTGAATGTTTTCGTTATGAAGCTCTCATGGTTTTTTTTTTCATTTCACTTCCTGATGTTTTCTTTCTGCAAGTGACGTGGAATCTTGTCAATATTATTAAATCAAATTCTACATAACTAACTTTCTTACAGTATTACTCATGATAGCTGTTCTTCATATCATAAGCCTTGTCAACATTAACATCAATTTGGATTTTATCAATTATTTTATTAATGTTATTGTTGTTTTTAATCGAACTTGTGAATGCATATATTCTCTTTTTTTCGAAATTTAGGAATTATGTACACCTAAAAAGTCAACTACAGAAAATGTTCCAAACATAGCTCGTCGTATTGCTGATATATCACATAGTTTAATTAATTTAGTTGATAATCTTAGAGGTAAATTATTTTTTTAATGTTATTTTCAATGTTTGTATTGTTAACTGATTAATAATTATCAATTTATCTTGTTCTTAATGTATGTAATTGGATGTAAAAGTAGACTGTGGAACAAAGGTAGGATGGTCAAACCAGTAAATGGTACAAATGCATGAAATCACTGACAAGTGGTTTGAGGACATGATGGCGGATGTAGGCTACTAGTTTGAGTTCCGTTAAACAAAAGTAACCGATGGTTAGAGACTTTGGATTATATGGTTCACAATTGTTTGCAATAGTGTGGATGCATCCATTCTTTGCATTCCCTCAAATTATAGTCTTTTGAATTCCTAATCACTTCCTTCTTTCTGTTTCTAAAGTTATCTCATTGAATTATACTTTTTAAATAACATTTTCGAACCTTAATCTCTCCGATTACTGCTAATACCTTTACTACTATGGGATTTGAATGGATAGTTGCGCCTCTGTGTTAATGTGGTATGGCAACCTGAACTGATGTACGTACGTACGAAGTTCTCTATTGTAGCTGATCGTAACCCTAACCAGTTGAAAGTTTAATTCTTTCGTCAATAAGTTACAATTTCATAGAATACTTAAGCAAATAATAATAATAGTAATGTTTATAGTATTCTAGTGAATTTTCTGTTCATTAAGCTATTAATATATATATATATATATAATTAAAATTCTAAATCCAAATCTTCATCGTGATTCTATTAGAAGATTTGAATGACTGTTCCTTGATAATTAAATTTATAACTACTTTTTAAATATTCTAAACTGTTTTTTCGCAATTTTTCTTGCCATAAAATTGTTCATTCTATTCGATTGATGCTTTTCAAATAAATAAATATGTAATATATAGATCACTGTTAATTAGAGCTTAGAAATATTCATTAGCTAGCTAATGCTCTTTGACCAAACTCACTTATTTCTCCATCCTGACTAAACAAGTTCTCTTTTTCTTATCTACCTTCCTTCCAACTGAATACATTGTATGTTAATCTCACTTGTAAAATGTGTACATGTTGCTTACATTACAACATTATACATCAATTTGTTCGCTTAACTGCGTAAAACTTAGCTGTTAAGATAATAATTCATTAAATTAACAAACTGTTATATGCTTGTAGTGATCAGATGTGTGCATGATTTTACTTGACTTTTTTTTAATATATGAGACTTTTCTGTACTATATAAGTATTTATAATTTCTACATTAAAACAGAGGGACCACGATTGATTATGTATTTCCGTGCAAGCAGTCCTGAATGTGAGTTTTTCATTTGAATGAACAAAGTTTCTTTTTTTCTCTATTGTTCTTAAATATTGTTTTATGCTTCACATGTATATTACATGCTTAATGGTATTTCCTTTTGCTCCTGTGTATGTCTAATCGCTGTTTGCTCTTTTAAGTTAATTGATAGAATTGTTTTTTTCCTTTTGTGTATAGGGCGTGATGTTGCTGAAAAGTACATTGGACGTCATGTAGCCTATCATCATCATTATGTGCCTAATTATGTATTAGGTAAGAAGTAATGAAAGTTTTTTAAAAATACCAGTTAGTTGGTTAATCAATCGATTCAAACCTAAATCAAATGAATAACCATCTTATTTTCTTAATTTATTGATTCATTTTAAAGGTGGTAATTCTGTATCATCACACAAAAGTATTCTTATTCGTCCCACGTGTTATCCACTTCAAATATCAACTGATCAAATCACTGAACCAACAACTATGAGTGATGAAGCAGAATGTCGAATCTTGGATGCTATTAATCAACTTAATTCATCATTGGAAAAATGTGTAAATTAATGATGTGTTCTTTTACATTTTTATATATATAATATTATAATATTATATCGACAGTAAACTAGTCGATGTGATATGTATGGGTTACTTGGTGTCAGCGGACAACATTCATTGTTTGTTCGCTATTTAAAACACACCAGTGACCAGACATATCCCTATCGCATAGTTTGAATCATCTACAGTAAATTTTGTTTTCATGTTGTTAGTAGGATAGAGTTTTCTTTTTTAGAATACCTTAATGATTTATTTTGCTTAGGTGTGTGCGAAACGAATAGTTATATAAAAGATGTCTTACATATTGGTTAGGGTTTTTGAATAAACACATGTATCAATTAATATTTTCAATCTTAGTGAACGCTTGATATAAAATATGAATAATTTTATAAGCAGCATACAAGTTTTCTTAAGAAAATCAATAATCGTTTCACATGCTGACGTAAGTTAGCTCTTAAATATAATTTAGATTTCCAAAAATGCATAACTATTATTTTGAAGATTCATTGCAGAATTTGAAATAAAACAAGCATTCATGAGAAATAAAAACTTTCTTGGTTATGTCATACTAACCCATCGTTTTAATGCTTGCCATGTTATATGGCATTCAAGTCTCCTAGTTGCATATACTCGATTGTATTGTATCTGCAAGTAGAATGAGGTTTCGGGAGCAATTTATCTTTCACAAGTTTATTCTCTGTGATGGTTTCATTACCTCTTAGTAATAATCTTTGGTAGCTTAGTTAGTTAAGAAGTTCGATTATCATCCAAAATAAGTCTCAGGTTAGACCTATTGTGATGTGGATAAATGGGGCCTAATAACTACGATTTTAGTATGATGGGTGGTTTTGACATTGAAACCAGTATTCAGTCTTACCTATTTACAAATATTTCTTCTTATTTCAGCCAGCGGACAACAAATTAGCTCAATCTCTTCTTGTTACGGCTCGATCAGTAGCTACATCTGTTCAAAATCTTATCAGAACCGCAAGGACTGTTGTCTCTGTACCACCACCAAACGATGCTGTGGACAGAGCTCGAACGGCAGAAGGTGCTTCACAAAAAAGTACTAGCTCAGCTGCTCTTTGGCGTACTGAACTCAATGTATCCCTTGCCACTCAAAATTTGTGTCAATTGTCGAAACTGTGTTCTGAAACAGTACCATTCTCAACCTCGAAAAAATCGGAGAATAGCGTTGGGGAGTTATCAGGAGGGTTAATTTTATCACGCGAAAGACTTCTGGCTGCTGTGCGTCAAGTGGCAACTGCAGGAGCTCAACTGCTCTTAGCAGCTAAATTAAGGAAAGAAGCTTTAATGTCTGCTGATATTCGAAAGTTGAAGGTGTGTTTTGTATCACATATATTCCTTTTCGATAGCTTGAAGTGTTTGGTTAGGGAATAAAGCAACTTGTACAGATAAGTATTGATATATCTGAGATAATTGCTTGGTTATCATTATGGTTAACACTGTGTGAATGACCGGCATTAATTCTAAGTTAATATGAACTGACTGACAAGAGATAGATTAAAATACGATACTACTTCATATTTGAGTCAACCTAGTAGTAGTCTAATCAAGGACAATTTCCCAGTTACATAAGATATTATCAGTCTATGAAAACCAACTCAGATTGTTGATATTGCAATATAGTGGTACACTCGTGAAATTATAAGGTTTTTTGAAAAATTACATTATTAAGCATCAAATATTGTTTGGTCTTATTTAACATAGTTATATTCATCAGGATACGAAATTTATTTTTGTTACGATATCGTACCATTATTCACAATAAATAATATTTTAACTGTAATAGGACAAAAACATATAGGTCAAATAAAAGTCACGTTTTTTCTACAAAAGTAGTAACCTTAAGATATATTATCAGAGTAATAATTTTTAGCGGAAATATTTCATTTTTATTTAAATCTTTGTATACATAGACTGCAGGACAAGCTGTTAAGGAGTCTACAGACCTTCTTGCTGAAACTGTTCAACGAAGTGATATGGTTTCAAATAGTTCAACTACACCGCAAACAGAAATTACTTGGCCAACTTACACAAATCAATCTTTGTTACAGGTAAGATGCAGTGTTACTTTATAACTTGCTTTTTTTTGTAAATTTAAGATTTTACATAAGAACAAGTTAGAATTTCCTCATTTTTGTCATGTTTCATAGCTAAATCCATCCATAACTTTTTATGTTAGTCAATTCAAATAACTTTCTTTTTTTTATTTATTCAGAGCATCCATACAAAAGCACGAATTCAATCTCAACAAATGGAATTAGAAGCACTTGAATCTCATCTTGCTCGCCTACAACAACCACAATCTACATAGATAAATTTTACATTATCCACTGTTTCATCATTGTACAGAGTAACATTAGAGAATCATTGAATTGATAAAAATTGCTTCATGTTTTATTATTATTTACCGATATTTCGTAGTTGTTTTATCTTTTAGCCTCGTTTCGTAATTTTCATTTTCGATCAGATATATTCAAAGAAACTCTTATTCATTCTGTTTATACAGACATATATACACACACACATTTACGTGTATGTGTTCGCTTGCTTCTCCCTCTTGTATGTGTTAGTCTGCATACGCTTTTTCCATGGTTTTAATTGTCGATTTATTTGAATACGTTTCATTTTGCTATTTCCTATTTTTAATCCCAGTGGTTAAAAGAGAGGAGAGAGAGAAAGCGAGAGAGAACAGGTTGATTATGATATCTTGAATATTTCATTTTTATTAAATTTTACTTTCAGATCTGCACGACAAGATTAATTTACATGCATGTAAAATATACATTGCTTTTAAGATTATTATGATATTAGAATTGTTAATTATTGACAATTCACTTTTATTGGTATTTCGACTTATTGTTTTAATGATGCTTAATTGTGTTTTGGCGCCTTCATTTCAATGCCTTGAATTATTTATTACATCTTCTTTCTGAATAATATCATGGTAATTTGATATAATAAAAAATTCGTTTAAAATGTGTATTGTTTTTCTTTGTTTACCTACAATTCTAATTTTTACTGACAATGATGAATGGATATATTTGCCTATCGCAATAAATCATGTTTAAATAAATTTCGCTTCAGAACGCCTGAAACATTTGTAAATGCCCTCTTTTAATAATGAATATCTGATAATTAAACTGTTAGCCATATATACTGAAAGCTTGGACATTCATTCGGGAGAAAATACACAGCTATGATTGTAGACTACTTTTTCACCTGGTTAATTTAAACCAGTTGTTAACGAATTCACTTTTGTAGTTGTACCATCGCATAGATTTCTAATTTTCAGTTCATTTGAGTTGTTCCGTAGGACCCGTATGTATGAAAGTCGGGATTTTATTGTATGCTGAGATTGATATACTTTTGTGTTCAGATAACCTGTTAAATTTGAAGTATACATTATGAATGTAGCTTAGACAAATTTATGTAACTAAATTATAAGACTAATTTGAATTATATGGGAAGCGAGTTTATACCGATGGAACGTGCAGCTAAACCTATTTCCTTATACTGAGATGGTTCAGTGGTTAGAGCGTTTGACTTTAAGCCGCTAAGTATCAGGTCCGAACTCCTATTTCCGTTTAGGTGACTTGTTAGTTTTAATAGACCTCGAACTTAAAGTGTGGCTTAAACACAAGTACCTAGTAAATAAGTTGGTAAACTGTACTTTATTTCACATAGCAGTCACGACCAACGTTAACTCGTGAATTTGGATCAAAATGTATCCGTAACGATATTTTCTGTCGATTTGTTAAGAAATTTATGCTGACTGTCTAAGGTATGCGCTCAGTTTCACATGGAGCTCAGTGCAACCAAATATGCATCGCTTTGAGCCACTAGATTGTTACGTCGCGATAGGTATGACGTTAAAAATTTTATAGATGCATTTCGCATCCAGCATATGCCTCTCGAACAGCATGAAACAGGCATTTTGCTTTTCATTTTTAGGTACTTAAAAGGCACATAGTCAACGCAAACTTAGACATATATATTATGTTCAACGTGTTTGTAGGTTGGTCGAAATTAATCAGTTGAGAATGCTCATAGTAGCCACCCGGTTCGAATCCTCACTTCTAAATCAACCGCTCTGGAAGTTTAATATTGCAGAGTTTAGGGTGCAAATATGTAAGGATTGTCGAAATTTCCAAATAGGAGTCTATAGCCGTTCAAAGGTAGCTAAACAACAGATAATCTAAAGGTGGAAATAGCTTATAGATCCTGTTAAATTGAAATGAGAATACTGAAGTGTTGGGTTTGAGACTTCAATGCAGATAGTAAGTTATAGATCATTGTCTACAAGAACTGAACCATTGTTTCTCCTTCACTTGGGTATTCGAATGCATATTAAGTTAGCTGCTAACAATATAGACTGATAGAATGAATAAATAATGACAAGATAAAAAAGAGCAATGATAATCTAATTTCAATGGTTCAGTAATTAAATAAATTCGTAGATCAGTCTTCAATTATTCTGTTGCATTAAATAAGAACCAAAACCAGTCAGTAAATAATTTTGTCTACAAATACATTAAACCTGTACAATAAAAATGAGTACTAATTTCATCCTTACCTCTGTTAAAAATAATAGACTTGTGTTATTCAAGATATCTACATGTAACATTTGCGACAAAAATTCTTTTGAAAATTATGATATACGATAAACTGATGTATTTTATTCACATGGAAACTAACATAACTGAGATAAAAAATATGATCTGATAGTGTACACAAAAAAAACAATCTGTCAATCAAGGCTACTGCAGTTAGTTGTGTTATTAGTAAACAAATCAAAATTCCGTGCAACTTCCTAGACAAAAGATAATTTTTTTAAGAAAATGTCATTTACAAAAGTTTGGTAAATTTATTGCCTAACTACTGCTTATCATTGGAGGAATTCAGTAAAACACATAACTCATGATTAGGATATGTTGGTAGTTTTAATTTGTATTTTTTCATCAGTGCATCTGGAACAAATCTCCCACCTGAAAAATGAAATGAAAAGATTATGTAGAACATTGGATAAACAGGAGAATATTTATGTTGACGTCATAAATTAACCGAACATTGTTAATGAATGTAGAAAGCTTATTTAACAAGTTACGAATACCACAAGTCAGTCAGTCAGTTACAACGTAGAACTTCATACATGAGTACATAAGTTCAGGTTGCCATACCGCATTAGCACAGAGACGCAACTGTCAGTTCAAATCCCATAGTGGTAGAGATAGTAGAAGTATTAGCAGTAATGAAGAAGATTAGAGTTCGAAGATATGATTCGAGAAGTATAATTCAGTGAGATAAATTTAGAAAGAGAAAGATAGAGGTGATGAGGAATTCTGAAGATTAGAATTTCAGAGAACTTAATGAATGGATGCACCTGTGCCATTGCAAACGATTTTGAGCCACGTCGTTCAAGGTCTCTAACCATCGATTACCATCATCTCGCGGACCCTAACCAGGTAGCATACATCTGCCAACATGAATCAGTCCACTTGTCAGTGACTCCATACATTTATGCCATGTTTTGGTTTGGCCGTTCATAACTTTATACCAACCTATTCCTACATCACAAAACATAGCTAATACCACAAGCCAGCTTTTGATAAATTGCTATTTGTTGGTCAATATGAAGTATAATTTTGCATAATTAAATCAATCAGAAATTTGATTGAAACAATTCTCCAGTTCTAAATAATAAAAATCATATCCGTTTGTTTATCATTTAATAGGTTAACAACATAATTCATTCTCCTCTATTTTTATCTAAGACGCTTTTAGAAGTAGCATTTTCTTGATTCAGTGTTTTTATGAAATAATTTCGTATTTAGAGATTTTATTATTGACTCGAAATACTCAGTATGTTGCTGCCGGTAACACCCTAGGATTTCGCTTTTTAGTTTTATGATTTGAATCCATATGTTACGCACTAAAAATCCGTACTTCCCCACACTGACCAGCGCCTTTCCATCATTCGTGACTTCATTTTTTGAGATGTTCTATTATTCTATGGATTTGCAAACTACATAAACAAACAGTTTGTAGTGATGCGAGCTTTTGTCGAGACAATAAAAGATCTATTGCAAAAGACTAGTCTTTTTATTTTTACACCCTTGATTTGAGAATGGATGAATTTTTGTTGGCTGGAAATTGTCAGGTTGCGATTGTTCTTTCTCTTATTAAGATTCGAAACAAATTGTTTGATACTTCTTTCATAAATTATTACGGAGACTTATTTAAACATATAAGGTATATGGGGTGTGATTGATCATTGAATAATGGGAGCTTTTACATGATCGCACATTCTGAGTCACCCTGTAGGTCTACTTATCGTAAAAACTAAAGTAGAAGGTCAATATATGACATGCACTTTTAAAATGATTTTTATTTCATGTATGTATTTTGTCTGAAGAATTGGTTTGTTAAAAAGAAGTAATGAATAAGTGTTTTGGTTCAATTGACAAAAAAATCTAACAGTCAGAAAAACTCCATCTAAATATACATAATTCTTTCTAATAACAAAAACAACCATTTGCTTAGAACATTAAAAGTATAAAATAAACTTATACTATTTTACTGAAATCATTATTTATGTATTAGATTTGGTCAGGTTCGACTGGCTTGCATTGTAAATATCATTTATATGAATCGTTTTAAAAAATTAGTACTACATTGGAACTTGATCAATCGGATTCATTCAGTATTAAAGATTCAATAAATATAAGATGGTGAAGAAGATTTGTACGTTAGATGAATGAGATTCTAGTGGTTTCATTCACTGAGCCAAATGATTTAATCGTGAAGCTTTTGTTAATCTTCTTCATCATTTTGCAAATTTGCAGCTTATGCTATGTTGTTTAGAAGAATAGAGAAAGCTTCACGATTCCATCATCCAGTTCAGAGAATGGAGCATCATCAAGAACACATGAATCATCGCTTAGTGATGAATTAATTTGAATATGAAAATTCTAGGAGTTGGTCAGTCACGATCTAAATAGCTTGCATTGAAGTCAAACAGGGTGCACAAATTCTTTTGAGATTATAGATATGTGGTGTGAGCTACTTATAAGTAGTATATGACGTGAGTGTCAATGTAATGTCTGGCAGCATAATATGGGGGAAGATCAAGAAAGGAAGAGTTAGAAAACAATGGAATTTGTATGAAACACATGAACAGTGACATTGGATTGATGTTTTGCAACAGGAACAGTCCAGTTCGATATGATGAACTGATATATTGCAAATTAACGATTTACGATATGGTTTTCCAATTTTACTGAGTAACTCTGTAATTTTCGGTTAATACAATTCGGTTGCCCCACCTGTGTTCTCGTTCACTACAATATACCTAATGGACAAGTGTTGACTGTTATTACGAAGAAGAATAGATTTAGGGGAGATTTTCATTGATTACTCCTAACCGCTTTATACTCCTATTTCATGAATAGCTGATAGTACTAGCAAAAAAATAAGTATTCTTTATTTTAATGCATTTAACAAACGGAAAAAAATGTGTGCAATTTTACTTAGTTGAAAATAATTTGACAAAAAATTGATTGATTGACTGACTGACTGACTGAATAGGAAATATTGAATAATTTTCCACTAAGTCCATAAATAATATGAGTTTAATCATACATGAAAATAATGACCAGTTAGTTAGTTAGTTAGAGAGTTAAGTCGCATCATTGAAATTCATATACATATACATATATATATATATTTTCTCACTGAATAATTAGATAATTAATTATATTTTAAGACTAAAAATGAATATACACAGCGTAGAGACTTTATGATTACAATTACAGTAGTACAAACAGGAAGTTGTATTGGCAGCACAGTATGCATGACCATCCTGGAGAGAGGGAGAGAGATGAATTTTTTTTTTCTAATCGTATATAATATACTTGTGAACGAAATTAACGCATACCAGACCATTTGATAAGATAAACAAACTGATTGTTTATAGCAATAGATTTAATCAATATTACAAACAAATATGTGCACTGGATATATATATATATATATATATATATATATATATATATACAAATGCACTTCCAAATATTTAACTACTACTAATGAATAATTCTAAAATGCACAAAGTACACTGAAAAATGCCATCATAAATAAGACAATTAGAAATAGTCAACAATCGCAGTAAACGTATGCATGTGTGTGTGAGTGTGTTTGTGTGTACACATAATTGAATGGCTAATTTACGCATACTGATTTCTCATTCATTAATCTGACTGTCAAAGGATGGATGGGGTAGTTAATTTTTCCTCAAATTATTAATTTTTTCTTTAAAGGATGAACTATTCCATTTCCATTCCTATATGTTGTCATGATTATGAACACGGATATTTGATGCACATCGTTACTTCCATTCCTATAAGTTTGAAATTTTTGTACAGATAGTCAACGTATTCTATTTCTTATTCAATGAAGAATACACCTTGAATTGTCAACAATAGGACCGACAGTAAGAATAGCAATATTTACTGAATTCTAAAACTTTTCATTATCCGGAAGCTGATTAAACTGACAACGAATAATGCACATAATTACAAATAACAAATTCACGTGATGTAACAGGTGAAATTCTTCTAGGATAGTTATATTGTTACGGGAGAAAAAAAAGGAGGTCAACCACACTTTTATTTATATAAATTAGTTCAGAAACGATGAATTATAAAAATGTCTAAAGAGTTAAAAATAGATCAATTTCTGATGTCCGTCAAGTAGCACATGAATTCTTTTTCATAAAATATCATCTATTCAAAATGGTAAACAAATTTAGACAGAATTTTTCGTCACAATGGATTATGACGAACAAGTAAATAATATACAATTTTTTATTTCCCACAAAACTTTATTTATTGATCCTTAACTATTTTTATGCTCTCCTTGTCAGAGCATAATATTCGTGATTTGCTAAACAGTGTTCTGATTAGGCTATCTTAGCAATCAGTAGCATAATGAGAGTATTTGTTAGTTCATGTTTTTTGTCTTGAATATGATTTTAGCAATTTTTACCTCAGTTCTTGATCTTAATACCAGGTTGTTTGCAGTTGACGAGAAACCTTACATAATCGACTTAATGCAGTAGTTTACAATTCAAATCTTGTTATTCTTAATTTGTTCAAAATTATCCAAACAATTTGTCTTTAAATTCTGATATAACTCCGCCTGACAACCCTTTGGGGTTACTGGTGATCCCAAGCCCGGTAGCTTATGCTCCATTAGGGATAACAGGACTAAAGAAAGTAGCTAAATGTTGCTATGCATTGTTGTGGTGTTTCGTTCTTTGAGCTGGATATTTTGGTTATGGAGCTTTCATTGTTCTTCTGAACAACATCATCATCAACATTGATTAGATGGCTGTATTCTTTCTTAGAATCAATTTATTTTGTAGTAAAAACAACGTAAGTGATTATACACATATATAAATAAAAATTTGATTTACCGAGGAAATGATATTGTCCTTGAAAGAAATGAGCACATAATTTCGGTGCAGTTAGTGAAATTAAACAATCTGGTTGTATATTATTCTCATTATCTAACGGTCCAGTTTCTACATTCCATCCTGTTAGGAAATAAATAGATAAAGATATATTAACAGTTAAATGAAGGCCTTAGTACATTTGTTCATCTTGCCCACCACCCCCCCACCTCAACACAGTTTTATTGATAATGATTAGCAATTGTAAGTTCGAGATTTCTTTTTCCTTAGAATTCAAGTGAAACAAAAGAACATACACTTGAAATAATTTCAATGAAAAGTTACGGTATTTTATTAGGGAACTAACTGGAAACATATTGAAAATCGATATGGATTTTATGAAATGAAACGAAAAAGCAATGATGATGAAGTTTGTAACTATGCTTTATTTATGTGTAAAATGATTTTTTCGATTATAATCTTTCAATTATTGAATAATAGAAGGAATGATATAATTAGTAAATATGTAGACAACTATAGATTAAGTCAATATTAACCAATAAACATTAGCATTGATAAGATAAGCTGTCAGTTATATATATATTGGAGACATTTGAAGTTTTTGCTAAGATGATTTTATTCAAAAGAACAGTAGAGACTACAATTATTATAGTATCAAGCGCTGAGAGAGAGAGAGAATGAAATTCTACCACGAACTGTGGATTAGTTATTTAGAATATTTAAAGTTAAGAATTATTGTTACATATAAATGCATAGTCAACATTAATTAGGATCAAATCTAAGTTGATAATAAAACAGATAGATATTTATAGAGCCATTATATATTAAATGATTAAATTTCTCTATTTTCACGATTTAATAGAATATCACACAAGTATATACGTCACATGTGATTACTTAATATTTACTTTACGTTAAATTTTTGCATTATACAGTTATGGAGATTATTGGGTTTCATTGAAATTATGAATCGATCATTGTTAGATCACTACTAGAAACCTGGAAGCACTGGATAGCCGTTTTGTCCCAGTATGGCACTCATCAGAAGTGTGCATTACGACCCTCGCCCGTTAGGAGTCCAGAACCGTCAGTTTTGTGCGAACGCTTAACCTCTAGATTACTAGTGAACTGGCATCCAACCTTAATCGATCTCTGATATCGCGCAAACTCACCACCCATTGTCTTTGGTAGTGACTGCCTACACCTGACAGGGCTAAACTCCACTGATCACGACTTCTCATCAAAACTCCGAGAATTTCCTCACGAAGCTAGCCACTAGTGTTTCCAAGTTTCTAATGATGATCTAACTATGGTCGATTCATAGTTACTTTAAATTATCAAATATTTACGAAAATTCATGTTATCTTACATTTTCATCATTTCAATAATAGTATAGCTCATTTACCAAGAAGACATTTCATATACTCAGCTTTCACTTAAACAATGATTGTATAAAGTCAGGTGATACTAACCGGTTGCTTATTGGATTCGAACTAACAATTCGTTAATAGAAAAAGTTTAATGTTAAAGAATTTAAGTTTTAATAAATAAACTAACGGTTCAATAATCAGTGGTTTCTAATCCATTCACTTTTCTCTATTCAAAATTAAATTTTAACTGAAATTGCTTATTTAGTACATGATAATGTAAATTTCACAACTTTATCATTTTCACAAACACGGAATATTAATGTTATTATGTGTATTATACACTGTTAAAAATAACAACGAGGTTATTTGATCGATAAAAGTTAATCAAGTCATACATTTTTAAAATCATTTTGTATTAAATTCTCAGAAAAAAAAAGAAACTGTAACTATTTCTGTATTTTGTATAATACAATGCAATCAACAATAATGATGATGTCATTTTATTATTATTAATGTGTTTATTATTCCGACAAAATCAACGTTAATTAATTAATTAATTCATTGATTAATTGTATTTGAGAATTATGCCGTTAAAGTCGTTTGTTTTCTTTTCCTTGATATTCCTTTTCCTATTGACATTTTCAAATCATTATAATTCATTTATGACGTTGCATGAAAGTTTGACTACCATTTTTTTTCCTATATGCACCTTTATTAGTTAGTTTGTATATAATAATAATAATAACAATAATAATAATAATCAAAATTATAAATCATGAATGTGACCTTCAAAAATAGATTTATTTATTTTTTCTTGACTATTTAAAAATAAATGAAAGCATAAATATTGTAAATAAGAACAAAGTTTAAACATGTGATTCGTTGAAACATGACAATCAACACACACAGAACACATGTGTAATGTAAATTGAAAATCGAATGAACGGATGAATGAGTGAATTGATGAACTGTTTATCATATGATAGATAACATAGAGAGAATATCACAGATGATGATGACAACAATTTATTGGATATTTTTACAAATCATTATAATCTGATAGACATAATCTACTTTACATGCTATGCGATGATATATATATATATATATATATATATATATATATATATATATATACATTGTATACAAATGAATAAATTTTATTATGATTGTTCAAAAAAATGAAACTACATAGAACTAGTGTTAAAATCATGTTATAATTGATGTCAGTCAAATACATAAACAAACAAGTTAATAAACTTTGTAAAGGAGGATTTCATTTTGCATGTACCATAGTGAGATTTTATGATTTGTGAAATTAATCAAATCAGTAATAAAATAATAATATTTAGTCTAAGTAATAAACATTGAATGATAAATAGTTGTATTATCATTATAGATAGATATTGTTAGTTAGAAACAAGACATTACGTGTACAGTATTCAATGTTTCTCTTAGAACAAAACAAAACAAAACAAGAAACAACTATTCATTGCGACTAAATATTCAATGGTGCTTTATCATTTGATATCGATGTCTATCATGGAAAATTCAATACACAGTAGACTAAGTAACTTCAAAACAGTGAATATTTTAGAGAAACTATTTTTAAATATATAATAAGTGATTTTGATAGACAATAAGATTTGAATATATAGTTTTCGTAAATGTTCACTTATTTTCAAATGATACAAAATCTGTTTCGTTATTTAACTCCAGCTGGAGTCCTTTTGGGGCTACTGTCAGTCCCAAGCCCGGATAAAGGAGGAGGGTTGGGATTGAGGTTGACCATTCCATCCTGTATAAAACTAACTCGCTAGAAAAACACTAACCAGAAAACATTATTCAAACCATTCTCACTCTGCGCTGGCGGTTAGAAGGTCTTCTTTCAGAAGATTTATGACGTCTCATGATGAAAGACAAGTTCCATCGGAAGTCACGAGGCCGATGCTCTTTCTGACAAACAGAGCAACCATCCTTTTAGGTACATGGAAAGATCGAACATTGTGGGAGACTGGAAGACTATTTCAAGTTGCGGCAGAAATGAAAAGATACAACCTCGAGGTGCTCGGCATCAGTGAAACGCATTGGACTCAGGCACGACAACTGAGACTAGCTTCAGGGGAACTGCTGTTATACTCCCGCTATGAGGAGGAAAATGCTCCACATACACAAGGAGTTGCACTGATACTGTCCAAACATGCACAAAAGGCACTGGTAGGATGGGAATCTCAAGGACCCAGCATCATCAAAGCATCCTTTAAAACAAAGAAAGAGGAAATTAAAATGAACGTCATCCAATGCTATGCACCTACCAACGACTACAATGACGATGACAAAGATCAATTCTACGAAAGGCTGCAGTCAATCGTCGACAGATGCTCACCAAAGGATTTGACGATTCTTATGGGAGACCTAAATGCCAAGGTTGGCATAGACAACACTGGATATGAAAACATCATGGGACGACATGGACTGGGAGAAAGAAACGAAAATGGTGAGAGATTTGCAAACCTATGTGCCTTCAACAAACTGGTCATCGGAGGCACAATATTCCCACACAAATACATACACAAAGCTATATGGATTCCACCGAATCAAACTACTCAGAACCGAATCGACCATATCTGACAAACTCAACGAATTCAAGATAGCCTTAGCAATAAGTTCCAGGCTTTTCACGATCTACTCAATGAAAAATAAACTAGATCAAGATACCAAAGAAAGGAGATCTCAGCAAGTGTCAGAACTACAGAGGCATCATTCTTCTCTCAATACCAGGCAAAATCTTCAACAGGGTATTGTTAAACAAAATGAAAGACTTCGCAGACGTCCAACTTCGAGACCAACAGGCTAGATTTCGTAAGGATCGGTCTTGTACTGACTAAATTGTAGCATTGCGGATCATTGTGGAACAATCAATTGAATGAAACTCACCACTCCACATCAGCTTCATTGACCACGAGAAAGCATTCGATAGCGTGGACAGGACAATACTATAGAGGCTTCTTCGACACTACGGCGTGTCTGAGAAGATAGTTAACATCATACGGAATTCTTATGATGGATTCGACTGCAAAATCGTACACGAAGGACAGCTAACAGACTCCTTTGAGGTGAAGACCGGTGTCAGACAAGGTTGCTTACTCTCACCCTTTCTCTTTCTCCTGGTGATCGACTGGACTATGGAGACGTCAACACTTGGACAGAAGCACGGTATACAGTGGACAGCTAGGATGCAGCTGGACGATCTGGTTCTTCTATAGCACACGCAACAATAAATGCAAGAGAAGACGACCAGTGTAGCAGCAGCCTCAGCACCAGTAGGTCTCAACATACATAAAGATAAAAGCGATATTCTCCGATACGACACAACATGCGCCAACCAAATCACTCTTGATGGACACGCCTTGGAGGACGTTAACACCTTTACATATCTGGGCAGCATCATCAACAATCAAGGTGGATCTGATGCAGACGTGAGGGTGCGGATCGATAAAGCGATGTTTGCATTTTTACTACTGAACAACATCTGGAACTCAAAACAACTATCAATCAACACCAAGTCAGAATTTTCAACTCAAATGTCAAGGCAGTTCTACTTCGGATCTGTTGGTCAGACACCGTCAGCAACAACCTACTTTGGGAGAAAACAAACTAGATCCTGGTGGAGGAGGAAATCTGGAAGAAGCGGTGGAAGTGGATAGGACACATACTACGGAAAGCACCCAAGAACGTGACAAGACAATCCGTCGCTCAAAGGAAAATAGGAAGACCAAAGAACACATTACGCTGAGAAATAGAGACGGAAATGAGAATGAATAAAAATTGAACAGAACTGGAAAGCGAAGCCCAGGACAGAGTAGGTTGGAGAATACTGTTTGGCGGCCTATGCTCCTTTGGGGGTAACAGGCGAAAGTAAGTAATTTCGTTATTTAATATTGATACAACAACATAAACACTAGATATTTTAAAACAAGATAATCAACCAAAATATGTATGTGTTAGGAAGAAATAAGCGAAAATTAGAAGCGTAGGAAATAGTAGCAAAACACACATGCTTGCGGACATGTATTCGAATGTACTAATCACATGACTTGCTGTATTATCTTTGAACCACATGATACAATATTAGGTGAATGAAGAACATACTAATCATATAAATAATGTCAAACTATTGACATGATGACATCTTATCAACATGCAAACAAATGTGAATAAGGCATGTATGCATTTGTTACGTAGACATAAAACATATAAAGAATATAATACTGCTGTTCGATTTTGAAAACATAAAAAAAATAAATTATATTGTTATAGGATTTTGGGTTATCTATCGATCGTTAAACGAAACGAACATCCAATGATATGTAATAAAAATCAAGAAATAAGATAAGCAAAATTTCTGTAAGACAATTTACATTCATCTAGTGACAAGTATACGAGTCGATGCAGACGTCAGTAACTAGACAGAATCAATAATCAGGCTATTCAATCATCAGTTATAATTGCCTACTAAACCGATTGATAAGGTAATTAGTATTAGAAAAAGATAAAATGATTTAACTAGATGAAATATTACTGTTAGTAAGTTACGTCATATGCAAATGAAGGGTAAATTGATTACTTTTATATGTTTTATTTGCCATCTAACAAAACAATTCTGTGTAGAGATAAAAAAAACAGATAAGAAAATGTGAAAGTGTAAATTCACTTGTTGTGGCGATTTGAACAGATACATATGTGTAAAATGCCACGTTACTTACAACTGACTGATTAAATTAAATGAATGATGAATAAATAGTTAGGAACTGCAATAATATGTGTGTCCACGGTATAATGATCATTTTTCGGTTACTTTTTTTAATAATCTTCAATAACTGCTTCTGACAGTGTATTGAGTGTATTCAACTAAGCTAGAATACCAGTAATAACTTGGATGGTTTTAAGCACAAATATCAATTCTAGCTTCCACTCAGTCAGTCGGTCAGCTGCAACATGGAACTTCGGTCCAAGTTACCTTACCATATTAGCACACAGAGATGGAAGTGTCAACTCAAATCCCATGGTGGTAGAAATAATGGAAGTACTAGTGGTAATAGAAGAGATTACGGTTCGAAGATATCATTCGAGAAAGACAAAGAATGGATGCATCTGCGCCACTGCAAACGACTTTGAGCCATGTCATCCAAAGTCTCTATCGGTTACGACTATCTCGCTAACCCCAACCAGGTAGTCTACATCTAGCAACATGGCTCAGTCAAGTTGTGAGTGACTTCATGAATTTGCCCCATGCTTTTGTTTGACAGCCCCTAGATTTATTCCTAACTACTCCTACATCAGATAACATCGTTCGTCGAGGCAGTCGATGGCTGGGCATACGTAACACATGTCCCAACTACCTCAACCGATGAAGACCCACTAGTTCATCAAATGATCTGCCATCCTTACCTAGTACCTTTTTCGTAACCCCGGAATTGCTAACTCGATCTTCCTAGGATACATGAGCAATCTTTTCACTACTCTATAAAAAACATTGCACTTAGTACAAAATGTGCATGTTGTTTTTGTTTTAAGTCTACAGGGAAAAGTGGAAGGAATTGTGTCAAGACAAATGGATCACTCCGGCTGCATAAAAATGGAAATTCCGTAAACCTCAAGTTATAAAAAAATTTATTGTTAGTAAATTTTATGAATGATGAGGACTCAACAAATATCTAGGAGTTTGTCTTAAAAATAAATACACATTATTACAAAATTGAATATGGAAATGTAGATGCCTAAAAGTTTGAATTATACTACTTATAAGTAGCAAGAGCAGAAACTCTGAAAAGTTGCAGTTAGCTTGATATTGCAGAACATAAATAACACTATTTATTATAAAATAACTTCAAATAATGATGACGCCATTTTTACCAATGACTACTTGATAGATTTAAAAAATTAACTATTTTGTATCATCTCAATGAATAACTTGAGAAGTTGAGATCGATGCTGTGTGATGGTGAAATTAAAATGCTATTGATCATTGAGCACGGAAAAACTGACAGTTTATTGACTGTAAATTATTTCCATTTCCGCTAATACTACTACTACAACTTCTACTACGATGGGATTTTTACTGACGATTTCAACTCTCTGTGCTAATACGATATGGTAAATTGAATTAAAGTACGTATGTACCAGGTTCTACGTTGAAGCTGACTGACTGAGACGGTGACCAACAGTGGGTTCATACGCTATTTTTCCATTAGGATCCTGGAGCCCATGTGCATTACTGGGTTGGAATCAAGGTTTTCCAACTCTCCTACGTGAATCTTCCACATTGGGTTGGAGCGCCGGATATTAACGTTTCGTCCTCTTAATTTCGTAAACAACACTTCCACTAAGAGAAGGCAATGAGTAGAACCTCCATATCAGTGGCTATAAACGCGTGGATATATGTACGCATTTCGACAGGGAGAGTGGACTTTTTTCATTCTCGACCATACCAGAGTATTTGGGGGTATTAATTTATTTAATTAGAACTTAATATATAAAAGATTGATTCTTTTCTAGTAACGATATGATGTAACTTTACGTTAGCCAATACGCCAACAACAATATACAACAAGGATGAAAGGATACACTATACTCAAACGACGGCACATAACTAACTTGCATCAATCAAAAGAGGAGAAAAAAGATTAATGACCACTAGTCCAAGATTCCTTGCTATATTTCAGATATCCCTTTATATACACAAAAAATCAGACCCCATTGTAGCAATAGATACAAATTAACAACAATACATAACATAGGTGAACCAAAAGTGACTGTGGGAAGACTGTACATAATAAACTGTCAGTAAAATAACAACAGTAAATCGTGTGATAATAATCTACGGGTTAATAGAAAGATTATCAAAAATCTATGACAATATATAGTCTAGTTAATTAATAGTTATAAAATTAGATTATATACATCAATAATCCATAGATTAGTTGCAGTTTACTTCAATTTTCATCCGGATATAACACCATATGAAATGTAACTTATCTAACCTATACATAATGACATAGGTGAATAGGAACCATATTTTTATTGTGACAACTAACTAGTTACTCAAAGATCTGTAAGTGAAGAATTAGCGTTAAAACCTATGACACCTCAATTGAAAAGCGTGGAAACTACTAATCAAAAGGTCATTATAGACTATCAATATGATAATGTATCTTACAGGGCCAGATGGGGGAGGGGGTGGTGATCGTAGTATAAAAAAGATAACATTATTCAAAGCATACTTACCTGATGGAACATCTATCGAGACAACAGGAATTTGACTCATTGACATAATTTGTAGTATACTTTTGAATTCTGGACTTACAGGAGGTTTGAAACCAAATCCAAAAAGTGCATCAATAAATAAATCATAAGATTGAGATAAGTTATTGGTCTAGTTGAAGAAAAAAAACGTAAGAAAACATTAGCAAGCATAACAGGGATTTCTGATTCAAAGTATGATGATATAATTAGAATTACAAATAAATCATACAATCTAAATAATATTGTGTTGAGGATGTTAGATCCCCAAAACTCGCTTGATAAATGCCTTATTTTGGATTTCACGTTTGCGAGCATAGGCTGATCAGTTGACCTTGAGATTTCATTTCTCACCAGGAAAATCCATGGCTGTGATTGGCTGCTGTGTATTTTGGCGTGCTATTTCTGTGACTGTCCCAAGGACATTTCTATGATGCATAAATAAACGAGATATGTGTGCTTCATTGCATTGTGCTTGCTGGGTGTTTGTAGAATATACTTCCTACGCTTATCAAGACTTCTCTTTGACCGTTTCAGATCAAGGTAGCCTACCTGGATGCTGGTTCATTGTCTCGTTCGCGTTTATGGACTAAGGTAAACCCGTAATAGTTTCAAGCGTACCTAGTGACGAATCTAACATATTGGTATTTATTTTTAAGTGATAATAAAAACCATTGGAAATGTAATCAGTAAATTGTTAAAAATCTATTCTATTTTTATCAATAATTTGAATATAATGCTTCTTATATTCGTAAAAGCCATGTCTATTAGCTGTTGTACAACAAAAAGAAATATTTCAGGTCATTGTTATTGGGTTGAATGAAAAAAATATAATGTTATCATTCGAAATGAAAAAGAAACCAAGTGTTAAAGAAATGCAAAAATTACAATGAATTAATGACTACAATTTGAACAATACTACTTTAATGATAATTAATTCGGAATACTAGTAAAAATTAAGCATTTAACTGTAACATTTTCAAACAATCCTAATGAAGCATATGTACACTAAGTGATCTACTAATAAGTCTGAACATACCATCACTCAGCATAGGATAGAACATAAACACATATGTGATTATCGATAAATATGGTTATGTAGGTACGATTATTATATCATTTCACCAGCTGATGATGATGTAACTTAGCAGCAATATCTTTATAGAAAAAAACTCATTTCACTTAATAATAATTGCAATTCACAATTAGAATTTGGGAGCTATGTTATCAACCACATTGGAAATGAAACAGTGACTCAATGATAAAATTCAATGAGAATGATGCTGTACTATATAAATTAACTGAATTTAAAAATTTTAAACCAGAGAATTTTCATTCACTAGTCTAAATATGTTCATTATGTTCAATATGAAACTTGAGTTGGTCATCGCCTACGATTAATCATCGATGACTAATGGTAATTATAAATTACAAACTAGAATAAATCATCAACTTACTTCATTTGTCAAATGACTTAGAAAAGGTATATCCATTTTTTCACATTGAATAATTAAATTTTTATATAATTGTTTAGTTGGAGGATTACGTGGATAATATATCGAAGGTTTGTAACCCTGAGATGAACAAGAGAAAAAAAAGAAACAAATCATGAAATTTTAAAAGAGACATATCAAACAAATAAAATCTAAAAGAGATATTTATCTTATTAATGAAATAGATTACTTTGATAAGCATTGAGCATAGTGTGTGAAAATGAGGCAAAAAAAACTACACATTAGTAGTCAATATTTGAATGGAAAGGAAGTGAGGATAAGGAATTTCCTATAAACAGAATTTCACACGAAACAAAACTACCTATCATTAATTATTATGATTAAAAATCATGTATCATGACAAAAAAACTGATTAACTTCTTTCAGTCTCACTGAAAGAGTGAAGAAAACATACAACTTTTAAAAATAATAATCTGCATCGAAAGATTTTACATTTTGTAATCGAAGAAATTGACACAACATGTTGATCATTTCAAGTAGAATACTAATAGCTAATGGGTAAATCAGTTGACTTTTAGTTAACAAGAAGTCTTGAACATTCTAATTTACCTTCGCCTAATTTGATCTAAACAACTGGATAGCTGCTCTCATACATGAGTCAATTAATAAATGAATGAGATTAATTTTAAATGGAGTATTTGTTTAGTTTTAATATTGTATTAGTAGATGTAGAAAGGATTTGAACTGACCGACTTGGTCTCGTGTGCTTTTATGAGTATGAGGGCAGGATGTTACTTACCGGCTGCCCATACGGTGGAAGGGCTCTGGTTGTCAGGAGAGGCATCGGCCTTGTGACTTCTGAAGAAGCTCGGCTTTCATCATGAGACGTCATAACTCTTCTAAATGAAGACTTTCTAACTCCCAGAGCAGAGTTTATATGATTTGAATTATTTTTTCTTGTTAGCGTTTTTTAGCGAGTTAGTTTTTTGTAGGATGGGGTCGCCAACCCCAATCCCAACCCTCCTCTTTTATCCGGCCTGGGAAACGGCAGTATTTAATAGAAACTAAGGACAAATTTATGATCACTGTTGAAGATACAATGAAATATTATACACGAATACCAAAGAATTATGTACTAGTCTCTACAAGAATTATTTTAAAGATTGATGTAAATTAATTTTTAAAAAAAATTCATTTGAAAATACAGTAGATTTCAGACTTACAAACATTTTCAAGTGTCGAGCACAAACTAAACCATCTCCACCATTGTTCCCTGGTCCGCAGAAAACAAGTATAGAACCATTGGTTTTAGTTAGTTTATTAAGGGGATAAGCCTGTAATGAGTATCATGGAAAATTTAAAATATACCGAATAGTATAGTATATAATATAGATTACAAAAGTGTGTTTTAACATACAATACATATTTAAAAGTTGTTTATATTAGTCATTGGAATTTCTTTCATCTAGATATTGTGTACTCGATGCGTTCAAGTTGTAATATGGCCACTAATCTACGTAACTTGACATTATATGCACTATGCTGAGATGTAAAGCTGATGCTTTGAGGCATTTAATCAATCATTAATAGTGGTTAGATTGAAACCGATTTCGATATAAATTAGGAAATGCTTCCATTTACCTGAGAATTATTTGAAATACATATTTTATACAAAAATAAAGAAAAAGAAGCTATTTATTGATCACTTACTAATTAGAACTAAAAAGATATTTATTATATTCAGCCTAATTAGTTAAAATTATATTTATTTTTAAAAATATGAGAAAATGGAAACATATCTAATATGAGAAGTGGTGGATTTTTATTTTACAGACTTTTAATATTGATTTTTGTATTTGTATATTTTACTTGTCAAAAAGTAACATAATATTCTTCTTGATATAACTAAAGTTATTATTGGGTCATGATATCAATGTTTGCAGTGATTGACAATGGGAAATTATCTTGCATGTTTTATTTATGTAATTTCCTATTATATTGGTAATGATGTTCAATAAATTTAATACATATATTATAACATTATGACTATAATTTTTCTTTAAGACAAGAAGAAAAAATATAATTATCACCTTATTGATAGCGATAGCACAGCTTAGACCAGCTAATTCCATCAGCTGATCAACAGAGAAAGCATATTCCGTAAATAATTCATTATCTACTTGTTGAGCTTCGACCTGACTGAATAAACAATAAAATTAAATGAAATAGATAAATACAAAAGCATTAACCGATATTAAACATATCACAATAACAATGAGATAGAAATTAACAAAAGAAATAGGTAAATCATAGGGATAGATTAACCAGAGGAAAACGAAGTTCAAAAAGACCAATCGATAAAAACATACAAAGTAATATTGCAAGTTAATATATACATATTTGTAGATGAAAATTAATCACACATAAGTATCTAAACAGATAACCAATAAACACAATCCCGTATATATCAACAATGAAATAACAATCAAACAAGGATGAATTCATACAGTTTGAGTGAATTTTAAGGAGAATTAATCCAAAATACTACGACTGGAATGTACAAAAGCTAATAAATCCGATAGTAAGTATGTTTCGAAGCTCAATTTTAGCTAAGTATGTTTTTGTGTTCATTGTAACGTGCTTCTAACTAAATTTCTAAGCCTTGAAAATATGTCTTCTTTACATTCTGTAACGAAGAAACTATGTGCAATATATTGAGAATTACAAACTGATTTAAGTCTAAAATCTGAGAGATTGCTGGTCGGTAGCCTATGCTACAAGAGAATTACCAAGCGTAAGAAAGTAAGTAAGCTATTCTTTACATAAATTTTAGCTTAGAACCAAGTAAATAAACTATATCATAATTATAATATCAATTAAAAAGGGGCATCACATGTTAATGGTTAAAATATCTAGAGAAAAATTCAAGATAAATTTCTACACTGATTCGACGTCATAGATTAATGAGAGTAGATGAACAAATTCTTATTCCGATTCAAATTTAGTTGATAAAATATAGGAATTTAATTAACATTTACAATATGTAGAAGATAAACTTACAGACTAAACAAAATTATATAAAATGTAATAGATAACCTACAGAAGACTTAATAATATCACAAATTGGTGACTAGTGTTGTTCATTAATTTATAATTATTCATATTTAGTATCAATATTTAGATATAACAGCTTTTTTCCAGTCAATCAAAAAGATGAATATTCATAAATTGTATGGCTGAATCAGCTGGATAAAATACTTCAGTCATTTTTTGGTTTAATTGTCTAGTGAATGTGAAACCAATTTTACTACAGATTGTATCCATTTCCTGGGCTTTTGCTGATTAGTCCAGGTAGAATGCCACTGAATAATTAAAACTTCAACATATCGAATGATTTTCATGCTGTGATATTCAAATAATATTTTAATAATTGTTAATAATAATTATTTTCTTTGCTATGATTGTATATCATGATATTTGGAGTCATATTATTTTATTTAATATTACCAATCTAATCTGTTTTATACTCTCTGAAAATATTTCTTGAGAATAAATTGATTACATCGAGTTCAGTAAACAGATGATTTTCAGTAAAGCAATAAGTATCATTTTTTTTAAAAAATTTTATTTTTATAAATCAATCATTAAAATTATGACAAATTGTTTTTTAAACAAATTTTAAAACAAAAACCCTTACCTTAAATAACTGACAGACATATTAGAGAATAGATATCGAGTGTGTACAGGAAAATAACAATACTTTTGAGAAAATAACGTACGTAATCTAATCCCAATCTGAAGTGGATTTTAAAAATTATAAACAATAATTTTAAAAGTATTTATTCAAAATATAGTTCAATATTTTACAATAAACAAGTTACATGACTCAATAATTCTACAGCTAACATATAAGCAAAGGAATCTGAAACATAATGTAGTACACTAAATTGAGACTTCAAGAGTTGTTTATCTTTAAGCATTCCATTCGCCTCGATTCTAAACGACTCTCTTGGACCAAAAATGAATTTAGCGAAATGATTGACTGAGGCATCATACAACACTATAAACGTCCTTGAGACACATAACTGTACCAAGCCTAAACGAAAAACACTGTAGATCCCAAGCCTTGTAGTGATCATACAGCTATTAATAGACATGCAATGCTAGAAGAAGGATATACTTAGCCAAACTTACAAGATTTTACTAGTAACTAACCAGGAATTAAAATTTTTTCGAAAACTGACCACCTCCTTTTCCCTACAAAGAATTAAAACTACCATAAACCAAAGTACTTTCGGAAGAGAATGATTAGCCGTTCACCTACGTATCAATTATTTTCGTTACAATTTATATGGTAATATCTTCATGATACCTGCTGACAATGAACCGCTAACTAAAGCTTAAAAACATAAACATGACTATGAATCTAAAATTTTACACCAACGATGTAAGACGCATCTCCGAAAAGTACATACAGGATCCGAGTACGACAATTCGATAGAGGAGGCTTGATAGACTACCGCTTACGCTGGAGCATATGTTTAAAATCATAACATGCTCTAGTACGAGCACGTATTTGTATGAGTCATAATAAACGTGGAAAAGTCACAGCGAGAAAACCCCTTGGAATAAAACTTACTAAAAAAAGTGAAGAATCTATTTAAGGGATAACTAGAGTAAGAGTAAGATAACCACCAAATTGGTATCCAAAGCAACGTAGCTTGGAAAGATAACCAAACAGCTGTGGAAACAGAAGTGACATCAATACGTAATTTACATCAAAAGGTTAGTAAGAATCAGTGGGTTTCAGAGGCATTTACTGAACTGAAAGATGCTAGGAAACTCATCCTGTCTGATTCCGAACATGATGAGGAGGAAGGGTAACTTGAACATAGAGTGAAAAAGTTTACGCAATGATCGCGAACAGTGGTGGGTAGGAAAAGCAAGAGAGATGAAAAAGGCAGCGGTGGTAAGTAGCATAAGTCAATTGTTCAGACTCAGCAAAGAAATAGGTATTAGAGATTCGAATGTTAGAGACACCTTTTTAGAAGACGAGATTATTCTCCCAATCTAGGAGATGGAACAGATGGGCAGAACACTTTAGGTATAAGTTCTACTGGCCTTCAGTCACACTTCGGTTACCCACGATCTCTAGTCAACCTGAATGGCAAGTTGATATAAGACCTCCGAATCTTAATGATGCTGGAAAGGCTATAAGAAATCTAAAGAGAGGGAGAGCAGCAGGGCCTGATGACTTAACCCCTGGGATTTTTAAGGAAGGTGGTCCAGTCTTAGTAGTTAGATTGACCGAGATCTTAGACAGAATCTGGGGACTGCACGCAATCCCATTTGACTGATCTCAATCACTGATTATCCCAGTTCTATAGGAATGTACAGAAGTCCTATTGTGACAATCACATAAGAATCAGTTTAACTAATATAATGTCTAAAATATTGACCATAATAGTACTTCGAGGACTAAATATATCTTAAGAAGAGCATACTCGGGGCAGACAGGGTGGTTTCAGACCTGAACGTGTAGATCACTTATTCGCAATTCGTCAGGTCCTAGAACATAGACACACATTTTGACACCCAACGGTAGTTGTATACCTTGACCTTGAGGTAGAGTTCGACTTTTGATCGTGAGGTGCTGTGACAGTCTCTGTCATTGAAAGATGTACCGAAGAAGTACATTACCCAGTTAAAAACTCTCTACTCGAACACAAGTGACGTATGTCAGGGTTGTCCGCTTTCCATAATTTTATTTAGTTTTATTGTAGGCATCCTAATTGTCTGAAATATCGAAAATTAACCTATCACCGAGTAAGCAATACGTAGATAAAGAAGGGGGTTCTGAGTAAGTCTAGCAAAACGATTGACGAGGTCTTCATCGGCCGTGGTTGAGACATGCGATTTATACGCCCAACCTACGCCTACCTCGACAGGCGATGTTGGTAGTGAAGGAACAGGCTGAAAGAAAGCTAGGGTGGTTAAATGAAGCATGACACCAGTCCATAGTTATTGACAGTTAGACTGAGTTATATTAGTAAGTATACACTACCTGGTTAAGGTCCGGGTGACTAATGTTAACAGTAGTAAGACTTTTAACGACAGCTCAAAATTGTTTAAAATGGAGCAGGTGCATCCAGCACTTTCCCCTTGGACTTTAAGCTTCCGAATCCCAATTTTTTCAATCCACCAATTTATATTTTCTTAAATCGTATTTTTGAGCCATAGTGTTCCTTTTTTTCAATAATGCTTTCTGTGCTAATGGCATGTACTAACTTGAAAAGGTGTACACAAGTACCAAATACTACATTGCTTAAGACTAGCTGATTATGTTAACATACCATCTTAGCATTTCAATTACTGTTGTATATACTGTAGTAACATGAACATTCTACTACTCTAAATCGTTAAATTAATTTAATGAACAATCAACTCTTATCTTTATTTATCATTACATTTAAGCAACCTAACATTTCGTATGCATTATGAAGTCAAAAAGACTATAAACTTTAACTTATTTATTGCTCGTGCGTGAAAAAACGAGGAACTTAGGTAGTGGCGTCGTGTATATACTTTTGGACATATTTTTAAAAAATATACACCAGGGTTTGCTTGTGAACATCTTCAATAATTTAAGATATTTGGTATATCCCACTCTTTTAATTGTTGGTCTTTTGTACAGTTGACCTGAGTTTGATCGCTCATTAGTGCAAACTCTAATTATCCGACGTACTTTGCTCGAATTGTAACTGGTTTCTTAACATAATGTCCAAATCACACTCCGATGAAAGCGCATTATAAGGTCATAAATTAATAGCTATCACTTCAGTAGGCGGGAAAAGATTAAAGCAAGTGAAAGAATCTTATTTCAAAAATACGAACTTTGAAGACAATATGTACCATAAAAAGTGTTCAAGTAAAAATCCCTAATTTCAAGCATGATAATATTGTTGAGTAACGCACTGTGTTGAGAATGGCGCGGTCTTGGTCAATTTCCTCTCGATGTTGGAATGACAAAAGACTGGTAAGCTTGTATTAATCTTTGTGGGGCTGTCTATGAGTTGATTCAGCTTTCTCTTGAAAGCATCGACAGATGGAGTTTCAGACACCAGTTTTGATAATAAGTCTTGTTCACTGACTATTCGATGAGAAAGTCAAGGGTCAGCTAGCTAACAAGTTATTCTGTACTTGAGAGTTTATGTAAATACCCTTGTGAGGTCTCTGTTTAAAGGCGGAAAAACCGGGGCATTTAAGATGCAAACTAACGGTTAAATAATTTAAAAAGTGTGATCAGGTCACAGCATGACAAAGAAAATGGGTTCGGAGCCTTGTTCATCCTGGAATAATTTAGTTTCTGTTCTTCGAACATTTTCAAAGGCTCAGAGCCACCTTTTAGCAATGGTAAGCTGCTTGTACAGAATACTCTAGTTTAAAATAAACGAATACTCTAAACAAGGTCAAAAATATCTTTCCATGTGCGTGGATCAAGACTCTATATTATGACCAAAGGGTTCGGAAAACGTTGCCGTATATCTCATTGCGGTGTGGGGCAGTTTTCAAGTCTTGTCGCTTTACATATCTTTAAATCATCAGAATGTGAAAGAACCCATGAAGATAGGAGACTATGAAGATCATTTACATACTAGTGGCCCTAAGGTATTCCATGAACCACAATCTCCTGGCTAGACAATTTGAATTTAACCCATAGTACTTGTTAATCTATAACTAGTAAATTCTCTTTCTACATAAATTAGTTGTTTCGAGTCCCGATATTACTTTTGCTTAATTCCGTCGGAAGCCTTACTTAAGTCAAGAAATGAAAAACTAAAAAAGGCTCATTAAACTTGCGCAACCTCTCTACTCGAACACTACTGGCTGAGACAGTGGTTATGGAAAATTGTTATCTGATTACTTCTAGTGGTGTCCGTCAATGCTCCCTATTTTCCCCATTCTTATTCAACCTCATCAATGAATAGCTTCTAGAGAAGTCACTTTCATTTGTTAGTTAGGACGCTGACGAAATACAGTTTTTGAGCTACTTTCGAGAATGATACAAGTATGTTTAGGACGTGATCCCCCCCTAGAATGCAAAAGATATCTTCAGAATCAGCTTGCATCTGCGCCCGGACCAGTGATCTGAAGTGAAGCAGTTGGCCAACTCAATTATTTCAGGAGTTTCATCCGTCCTGATGGCCTGGTGTCTGCCTTTTTCTAACCTTCGTCACTTGTGGCTCTGGCAAGATATTCGTCTACTAACCAGAGGTCGGTTTTACCATGCATCAGTTCGCTCCATACTAAATTAAAGGTTTGAAACTTAGTAAGAATTGATACTATTCATAAGTCCCTATTATTCCAAAGAAGAACTACCCGTATATTAAGGGACTTTCGAGTAAACAATGCTTGTGTAAGGAAACGGATACTAGGTAAGGATCACTAGACGAACTAGTGAGTCTTCATTAGTTGATGTAGTTGGAACAAACATTATATATGCCGAGCCACCGACTACCTCAATGAACTGGAGTAAGCCATATTAGTAGGTGTATACTAACTGGTCGGGTTCCGTTAGAGACCTTGAACCACATAGCTCAAAGTCGTTTGCAATTACTCAGGTGCACCCATTCCTTGTCTTCGCTCAAATTCCGATCTTCCTCATTACCGCTAATACTTCTACTATATATATTTTACTATATTATTTGAACTGATAAAATCGATCTCTCCGCATTAATTTGATATGGAAAACTGAATCGATTTAAATACCAGGTTTATCGTTTGACTGACGGGCTGACCATAGGAACATAGAGAAAACAAAAGATGCTTTTAAGTATATGAAATATGACCATAACAATTTGTGCCAAAAGACAAATTTCATGTATATATCATGTATACTTATGGCGCAGGCGAGATATCTGTTCGCTAACCAAAGGGCGAGTATACTGCACAGCAGTTCGCTCCGCCCTACTATATGGATGGGTAACATGTCCGGTAAGAGTAGAGGACACTCGTAAATTATTAGTATTCGATTACAGATGTCTTGCATGCATTGCTCGTATATCCTGGGGACATTGAGCGAACAATACTTGGATTAGGAAAAGAACACAAGGTAAGGATGGCAGATCAACTGATGAATTATTGAAACTTCACCAGTTGTGGTGGTTGGGACATGTGTTACGAATGCCCAACCACCGACTGCCTGGACGACCGATTTTTTGTAATGTGGAAATACGTTGGACGAAAGCTAGGGTCGGTCAAACCAAAACATGGCACAAATCCATGAAACCACTAACACGTGAACTGAGTCATGTTGCTAGGTAAAAACTACCCGGTTGGGGTCTACGAGACTTAAGTCACCGATGGTTAGAGACCTTGAACGACATGGCTCAAAATCGTTTGCAATGGTGCAGGTGCATTCACTCATTGTGTTATCTCAAATTCTAACCTCTTGAATTCCTCATCACCTTTATCTTTCTAGAGTTATATCACTGAACTATACTTCTTGAGTAATATTCTCAATTATCGCTAACTCTGTTTCTCTCTCCTCCACTATTGGATTTGAACTGACAGTTGCGTCTCTGTGCTCATTCGGTATGGTAACCTGAAGTGATGTACGTAAGTAGGTACGAAGTTTTACATTGAAGCTTATCGTAATCCAGTGTGGAAGCACCTCCAGCCAGTTTAGCATCACTGTCACAGATCTAAATATAATAAACTTTCTGATTTATCCACGGCTGTAAATGATTGCCTCAGTGTCCTTAAAATGAACCAACTAGTTTGGTCGTTACCGCTTCATAGTTTTAACATACTTTACTGTCAGGGAAGATGGTTAATCGGAGCTATTGACTCTAACTGCACTGCACTGAGTTTTCTTCGAATGAGGTTTATAAGATGGTCTTAGTTAGCATTCGTAAATTCACCACAAACGAATACGATAGTGAATTTATCAAGAATCTTTTACTCCATTTAGTACGAAGACTATGACTAGATGGTTCTGGAGACACTCGTGCTATGACAGTTAAACGAGCAATGAATGACCAAGACTGATTTTCGGATTACAGTAAATTTTTTTTCCAATTAGAATTCTATTGTCTCAACAACTTGTCAGTTTATACAGATTAATAACTGACAGATTAATACTTATATTCATCTTGTTCTTAAAGTCTGTGGTTAGTGCCGCCATTGATTTGTTTTTCGAAATGGTCCTATGAAACTATCCTATCCCAAAAGAAAAAATCATTTGGAGCCTCCTGATTATCTTCCGGTAATTTTGAAAAGCGCAATGGTCTGTATGAGCGAAATTAACCTTCATGAAAAATTTAGGCGAATCGTAGTTCAATAAGTTACATTATGGTTGTGTAAACTAATTAAGTAAAAGTCGGACTGATGGTTCATTAACTCCGACAGCAGAACCTTCGGTGCTACTGACAGTCCCAAGCCCGGATAGAGAAGGAGGGTTGGACATGGGGTTGGCGACCCCATTCCGTCAAAAACTAACTTGCCAAAAAAATGCTAACCAGAAAAACTGATTCAAACCATTTCAACTGGGAGTTGGAAGAAGAATTATGACGCCACGTGATGAAAGCCGAGTTCCCTCGGACGTCACGGGGCCGATGCCTATTCTGACAACCAGAGCAAATATTTTTTTAGGTACATGGAACGTTCGTACATTGTGGGAGACTGGAAGACTATTTCAAGTTGCGGCAGAAATGAAAAGATACAACCTCGAGGTGCTCGGCATCAGTGAAACGCATTGAACTCAGGCACGACAACTGAGACTAGCTTCAGGGGAACTGCTGTTATACTCCCTTTATGAGCAGGAAAATGCTCCACATACACAAGGAGTTGCACTGATGCTGTTCAAACATGCACAAAAGGCACTGATAGGATGGGAATCTCATGGACCCAGGATCATTAAAGCATCCTTCAAAACAAAGAAAGAGGACAAAACAATGAACGTCATCCAATGTTATGCACCTACTAACGACTACAATGACGACGATAAAGATCAATTCTACGAAAGGCTGCAGTCAATCGTCGAGAAATGTTCATCAAAGGATTTGACGATTCTTATGGGAGACCTAAATGCCAAGGTTGACATGGACAACACTGCATATGAAGACACCATGGGACGACATGGACTGGGAGAAAGAAACGAAAACGGTGAGAGATTTGCAAACCTATGCACCTTCAACAAACTGGTCATGGTGGCACAATATTCCCGCACAAACGCATACACAAAGCTACATGGATATCACCGGATCACACTACTCAAAACCAAATTGACCATATCTGTATCAACAAATCGCTCAGAAGGACTACGGAGGATGTGAGAACCAAGAGAGGAGCTCATATAGCCTCAAATCACCATTTGTTGATCGCCAAAATGAAACTGAAGCTAAAAAAGCACTGGACAACGGGGCAGACAACATCACACAAGTTTAATACAGCCTTTCTTCGGGATACCGTAAAACTCAACGAATTCAAGATAGCCCTCACCAATAGGTTCCAGGCCTTTCAGGATCTACTCAATGGAGAGGAAACAACATTAAAGAACAATTGGAAAGGGATTAAGGAGGCAATCACTTCAACATGTCACGAGGTTCTGGGTCATAAGAAGTACCATCACTAGGAATGGATCTCTGTTGATAATCCTGCAAAAATTGAGAAAGGAAGAACAAGAAGGCAGCAATCACTGTCAGCCGAACGAGAGTACAGGAAGTTACCGTACAAGCTTCATACACAGAAGCAAGCAGGGAAGTGAAGAAGAGCATCAGAGCTGACAAACGAAAATATGTGGAAGATCTAGCAATGACAGCCGAAAAGGCTGCAAGAGACGGAAACTTGAGACAATTGTACGAAACAACAAAGAGGCTCTCTGGAAACCACCGTAAACCAGAACGACCAGTGAAAAGCAAGTAAGGGAAAGTAATCAGCAACACTGAACAACAGCAAAATAGGTGGATAGAGCACTTTAAGGAACTCCTG